CAAATCTCAGGGTGAAAAGCAGTTTTCCCTCTTAGTTTTGAAACTTTCAGCCAAATTCAGTGTTTAACTGAGTCTCTATACACGTAATATTTTGTAGGTCAGAGAGCCTCATGGATACGTGTTTATAACATGTGGCCTTTTAATTTTTATTAATAATTATTATTATAATTTTCCCTTCAGGAGAAATAGAAACAAGATCCATAACAGAGTTATTTGGGGAATTCCACACTGGGATGACACAGCAGTGTCCCAACCTGGCAGTCACTGGTCAGGTGGGTGGTTCACCTCATTGCAATCCAATAATCAGACACCACAGCCTTGGGCTATTTGCTAATTTGGGGACCTCCCTTGACATTTTAAGTGTTTGTTACTGTCTAGAGGTTGCTATTCCCTAAAACATTAGTGGCTTGGACTTAGAGAGTCAACTAAATGATCAAACTAAACTTCCCAGCTCAAAGCTGAGCACCGGTCCTCTTGTGTAGAATCATGGAATCCTAGAATGGTTTGGATGGGAAGGGACCTTAAAGCCCATCCAGTTCCACAGGGACACCTTCCACTCTCCCAGCTTGCTCCAAGCCCCGTCCAGCCTGGCCTTGGACACTGCCAGGGATCCAGGGGCAGCCACAGCTTCTCTAGGCACCCTGTGCCAGGGGCTCAGCACCCTCACAGGGAACAATGTCTTCCCAAGATGCCATCTATCCCTGCCCTGTGTCAGTGGGAAGCCATTTCCCGTTGTCCTGGCACTCCAGGGTGACAGGTACTGCAAAGGGAAGGAGTCAGAGATGGGGACCAGGAATGTTTCTTGCTTTTCCCAGCTAAAAGGGACTTGAATCACAATAGCTTGGGATACTATTTGTTACATGACCTCAGTGAGAGCATGTGGCCATATCTGCTGTATTTATGGATACTTTATTCCCTGTTCAATCCTTTTCTTCCCCTTTGGCTCTCCATAGACCACAGGGGCAGTGAGTGAAAAGCCACATCCATGGACACAAAGGGGACCTTCCATCCAGAGCAGCTCCTGGCCATGGCTGAAAGTTCAGTGAGTGGAAGACAGAAGTAGATGGACTCACAGCTCAGCTGGAAATGTTTTCCACAGGTCCTGGAGGTTGATCAGGCAGGTGCTCCCTTTGGAAAGCTCTGGTGTTGTTCCTCTCCCGTCTCTGCCGCTCTCTCCCCACAGCTCTCGTGTCACTGTCCCTCGGCACGAGGTGATTTCCCTCTCTTGCTGCTGGAAGGGGCTGGGAGCTTCCCAAGCAGCTGGGACAGGACTGGCTGGATCCTGTCAGCTCTTTCTGAAGGGAATTGATCTAATCCTGCTGGCCTCTCCCACAGCAAGGACTGTTCCTGTGTTCCCTGTAACCAGGGAATATTTGGCAGCCAAGCGAAGGAGAGGAAGGGAAATGATGCTTGCAGCAAGCACAGGTGTGTCTGTGCTGGTTCAGGGTGTCCTTGGAATCATGGAATCCTTCAGGTTGGAGGAGCCCTGTGAGATCTCGGTGCCCAACCGTTCCCCAGTGCTGCTGAGGCCACCACTGTCCCACGTCCCCAAATGCCACATCCACACGGCTTTAAATCCCTCCAGTGCCCTGAGCGCTGTGCCAGGGCTGGACAGCCTTTCCCCTGTGAGACTTCCCAATATCCAGCCTAAACCTCCCCTGGGATCGCCTCAGGCCATTTCCTTTTACCCATTTCAAATGCTTCCAATCATTCCCTTCTCTTTTCATCACCTCGGGCTGCATTTTCCCCTCTGGTTTTAGCTCTGCTGGGGATGTGAGTTTTTCTTCCAGTCTTTTGGCAAAGCTC